AGATTATCAATCCTCATTTTGAAAGACAGATGGGATGCACATTGAACATTGACAGGAGTCTACTGAGCGCATTGGAAAGACTCTAACTAGCAGTGTTTTCAAAGCAAAGACTCATGACCAAACCTTTGGCAGAGTACAGGGAATCATAAGAAAGAAGGGGAGTTAGTCTGATGAGGAAAGGATAGGAGCTCCACAAGGACCAAATATATCTGGGCACAGGGTCTTTTCTGAGACTGACATGCAACCAAGGACCATGTATGAATGTAACCTAGAACCTCTGCTCAGATGTAGCCTGTGGTAGCTCAGTAACCAATTGGTTTCCCATAGTGAGGGGAACAAGGACTATTTCTAACAGGAACTCAATGACTGGCTCTTTGGCCTCCCCACCACCCAAGGGAGGAGCAGTCATGTTAAGCCACAGAGGAGAGCTTTGCAGCCAGTCCTGAAGATACCTGATAAAACAGGATCAGATGAATGGGGAGGAGGTCCCCCCTATCAGTGGACTTGGCAAGGGGCATGGTGGAGATGAGGGAGGGAGGGACTGGGAGGGAATGAGGGATCAGGACATGGCTGGGGTACAGAGTTAATAAAATGTAACTGATAAGAAAAAAATAAAATACAAAAAAAAAAAAAAGAAAATGGGGAGCTACAATAATTCTGATATAGCTGCAGCAGAGGTGGCAGGAGCCCAAAGCAGGTACCATATAAAAGATGGCTTTCCTCCCACTCAACAGAGAGTCAGAGATGCCAAGTACAAATTGCCATTTTGTATTTGACCAAATGTATTTTATTTTGTTGTTTGTTTTGTTTTTTTGTTTGTTTTAGGTGTTTTGTTTTGTTCTAATTAATTTCTAAATTTGTTTCAATTATAGAGTTTAGCTTGTTAAACAATAGGATTATTAACGACATTGAACATTAAATAGTTAAGATATTTCTATTATTAATTTATTTATTCACTTTACATCCCAATGATAGGCCCTCCCTATTATCCTCCCAGTCTCACCCTCCCTCCCTTTTCCTCCTATCCCCCCTCCCCTTCTTATCAGAAAAGGGAAACCCCCAAACCCACCCCTGCTCATCAAGCCTCATCTTTCCCTGTGACCTGGCAAGGCAGCCTTGCTGGAGTGGGGGTGGGGGGATGATCAAAAAGCAGGCAACTCTGTTTTTGTTTTGTTTTGAGAATAGGTCTCTTGTAGTGTGGTGTAGCCCTCAGATTTACTTCATAGCTAAGAATGACCTTGAACTCCTGATCTTCCTGTCTCCCCTCTCCATGGGATCATAGGTGCATACTGGGTTTATTCAGTGCTGAGATTGAACATAGTGTCATTAATACTAGTCATGCTACTGTACCGAGTTATTATCCTCAGCCCCATTCATGTAGTGCACGCCTGTGGGTATGTACCTTATGCTTGTAGACATACTTGTGTGAAGGCCAGAGGCTGGGTTTTCATGTCTTCTATTGTTTTTCATTTTGTTTGTGAGACAGGATCTCAATGAACCTAGAGTTCATAGATTAGCTAGACTGACTGGCCAGTGAAGTCCAAGGATCCTCCTGCCTCTGGCCTCCCAGCACTGAGACTACAGACATACATCACACACCCAGCTTTTAGTCATTTGTTTTTGTTTTGAAACAGGGTCTCACTGTATAGCTCTGGCTGGCCTGGAATTTCCTTTTTAGACCAGGCTTGCCTCAAACTCACAGACACCTTACTGCCTCAGTGTCCCGAATGTTGTGCTTACAGACATGCACCACCATACCTGAAAGAGAACTCAGGTTTTATTTAGGAGTTGGATATCTGAACTCGGGCCCTCATGCTTAAGTGACAAGTACATTACCCACTGAGCCACTGCTCTGGCTCCCTTCAGGCAGCTCTTAAAATATTATTTCTAGGGCTAAAAACAAAAGGCTCTCGTGAGGGCAGGAGATAGCCAAGTGGATTTAGGACATGTGCAGCCTGACAACCTGAGCTCTATCCCCAGATCCCACACATTAGAAGAAGACAACCAACTACCTCAAGATATCTTCTGACCTCCAAACATTAATGGTGGCATGTGCATGCCCATATACATATACCCACAGACACAATAAATAAATAGTCTAGTGATGACTAAAATCTCTAGTGATGACAGAAAAGCCCATCACGAAGCATATGTGGTAGAAAGATTAAGGTTCAAGGTTTTTTTGTTTTGTTCTATTTTACCTTATTTTTCAAGACAAGGTTTCTCTGTGTACCAGCTCTGGCTGTTCTGGAACTAGCTTTGTAGACCAGACTGGCCTGGAACTCGAAGAGGATCCTCCCATCTCTGTCTCTGCAGTAACGGGGTTAAAGTTGTGTATCACAAGCCCAGCTTAGGTTCAGATTCTAACTTAACTGAGTGCATGGTGTATCCACCTTGAGTAAATATTGCCTTCTTGTTTCCATTGAACCTAATACAACATGGTGATCCATTAAAAACACCCAAAACTAACTGCAAAAAACATTAGTGGACAATGAAGGTTGATCTAATGTAGTAGAAAAATGTAAAAAAACAGCATTATGCCACAATGTACTTCCTTCTTTGACCATATGTCTTCCCAAGAATCATGCCTGTGATCATCATGTCCCAATAGCTTGTCAATCCCCAAAACCCTAATTTGTCTGTGGTCTCTACTGCCTTGTATATTCATATTCTTTAAGAACATCTCGCTATTCCTGCTGATACAAATTAATTTCTACTCCAGTTCTCTACCCTGTGTGCCATTGCCTTTCATTGTTATGATTGAACTTGCGGATAGATACAGAATCCCACCCTGGAGAGGAGGTTGGTGGAGAAAGACTCTGAGCACTTGTATTTTATATTTCCGACCCATTACACTTCTGCATCGCAGGGGTAGAACATACCTATCTCTGACTACAACTTGGACCCTGTGACCTGTATAACCTTAGGCTAGTAACACTAGGGGCCTTGATTTCCTTACTGGTGAAATGGAGATTTATTTTTTCTTTCCCTAAGAAGAGTATTGGACACTGAAGGTGAAAAACCATTCAAGTATAATAGGCTAAGGTTAAATCCATGATGCAAATTAGACACACCTGCCCTCCATGAGCTCTTGGAAATCCATATAGACAGCACAACTATTTGGATGATAGACCTAGAATTTCCCAAACAAAGGTGTAAGCATAGTAACTCAGCAGGGCTCAATTCTTAACTGTCATTATTCCTGTTGGAATTTTACCTTGTTGGCTTTTTTCCAAGGATATACACAGATCTCCCAGATCTGACTGTAATGACATCCTCAAGAATATGGTACCATGCTGTGTCAGTTTGCTCGAAATCTATGCTGTGCCTCAGGGCTGTATGGAGATGGCATACTTATAGGTTGACCTGGATATTTTTTCTCTACATTACTCTCTCTCTCTCTCTCTCTAACTCTATCTATCTATCTATCTATCTATCTCTGTTCTGTCTCTCTCAATGACAATGGGGTATCATTTTCTGTGTGAAAGTATGAAGTATTGTTTGTCTAGGTAGCAGTGGTGAATGTCAACTACCATGATATATTAGTGAATCATTGCTTAGGAGTTTGCACATAATGAGCCTAAATCTTCTTACTGTTTTGGAAAACATTTCAACAATAGTACTAGTAGCACATTTTCCATTTTCACTTGCAGTTCATTTATACATATATTATATTATATATTATAGCATATCATAAATGTTTATCCTATTACTATATAATTATCATATTAGTATTTTAATGGTCATGTAATCATCCATCTTACTAATGTACTATAATTTACTTAAATTTCAACAACAGAATTGTTTGATTTTTTTTTCTTTAGTATAAATAACCTCTCACTTACAGATTTTTGCTCAGAGCTTCTTGTATTTTTTTTATATCTTTCCCTGGGGTACACTACTAGGAATGAGATCACTAGATCAGTGTATATGAATTTTTAATGATTTTTAAATAAATGGATGTTATTTTTCCAGTTTACAATGCCATGAGCAATGTATTAGCATTCTGCTTGCATTACAACCTTATCTGAAGTGTGTGTCACTATTTGATATTTAATATATTTACAAGAGGACCTTTTGCTTTACATTTTCTCATAAATAACAAGTTTTAATCAAACCCTTGCTTATGAATTATGTATCTTCTTGTATTTTGTACAGCCACCTGGACTCAAAACCTAGGGGTGCTTCTCTTTTATCAATAACTCCCACTATTGTCCATTCATTTTGTGTATTAAATAAAACTAATGTTGAAGTCTTGGAAAAAGCACTCATGTATACCCATGATAATGAATTATTGAGGACCTGTGTGTGGAGAACTGTTGGCAGTAGCCAGATAAAATAATGGGAAAATTAGAACGTTAAAATGAAGGTAATATATCTAGTCCAGAATTGCAAAGGTCCAAAGCATGACTAACGTTCAAATAGTTCAGTCCCTAGTCAAATTTGAATGACTTTCTCCTTCTAGCCCCAATCCTCACTCTGTTTTCAAAGAACTCAGGCGCTCTTAATCATACTGCTTCTAATATTTCCTCTTTGGTTTTATTCAGTATTCCTAGTGAATGAAATCATCCCTACACACACACACACACACACACACACACACACACACACACACACACACTATGTCTTACACCATTTCTAGCCTCATAGTGTACTGGCCAGTGCATGCATGCAGCTCTGGAATATGAGATGGAGTCTCACTTTGCACCCCTGTCATGGAGCTGAATGCCAAGTCCAGAGACCCAGCTTTGCTCTCCATTCCAGGCAGCATTGCCTGGATCTTGAAATGGTGTTTTGCCAACTGCTACAAGGTTTGTTCATGAGTACCAGTCACCACTAATCCATCCTGAGTTGAGTAACCCGCATCTTGGCTAGCCCTTTCTCTTTGACCTAAGGGTGTTAAGGTTTGCTTAAGATAATTGCTGCATGCTGGTATGTCAGACTAGGAAGAAAGTAGCTAACCACGTTTCCCTTTTTTTTCTTCTTCTTCTTTCTTGCAGCCGCAGCAGAGGGTTCTTTATAAACATGCTAGCCTTGCAAGCTGCTGTCCTGCCAGTGGATGTGAGCTTGGCCTGTTCCCCAGGGAAAGACTTACTCATGGCACCACCAGAAGAGATCCTTGGAGCACTGACAGATTAACTGGATTAATTGAGAAAACGTCTATTTTATGGACGTTTGTCAAGATTATGGACTTTGGGAGAAAAAAAAATCTTAGTTTGCTGTGGATTTTCAAATGAGGTGCATAACATACAGTGCCAACTCGTTGGCAGTCATTGGCAGACCATTAGCTGGAAACTCCCTTCCAGTTTTCATCACTGTGCATCACTCAAGTTCCCCTTGGGCTCCCTCTGTGCCCTCCACTAGAAGTCCTGTTTTAGCATGGCAACCACAGGATTATTTCATTAAGTGTGCAGACGGCATGATGTTTTAGAAAAAAAGAGTTCTGCAATCTCAGTGGAAGGGTTCAAAATATTAGGCCCTGGTGGGAATGTAAACATGTCTAGATCATGTTAGTTACATCCAATGCTGAACCACTTTATATGAGAACACTACACTGGGATAAAATAGCACATTTGGTACATGTAGGAAAACAGATGTTTTCTCTTTTCTTTATAATTCTTGTCTTATTTCTGGCTCAGACTGTCTAAGACAAACTGTACTCCTAGTATACTCCTAGTTGTTTGTGGTGTAAATATGGCCACAATACTGTTAGACTTTACCTGTTGACACTTAACTGGATAGCTGGATTACTCATAGCACAAGGGGAGGTAAGAATCAAGCCTGATGGCTGGAATATTTGAAGTCTCAGTTCTTTGTACCCGGCACAACTTAACACATGGCATAATGACACTCTGTACAAAATACTTCTCTTTGGCTAATGCATACATACTCTTGTCCCTTAGAGGAGATCTTCAGACACAAAAGAGGATAGCCTTCTTTCCATCAAAGACCACTGTGGATTGATGCCAAGGGCAGCAGGACACAATCTTCCTCAGTGGTCCCACTTCCACACTTAGGAAAACTTCCAAAGGTCAATTTAAGTCACAGTTCTAGAGAGAAGCATCAAATGACCCCCCCACTCTGTGCCTAGAGAAGGAACACATCTAGCCAACACTAGGTTTCTTCTTCAGCATAGAATTTACTCTTCCCTTTTATGTATATATGACTTCCTTTTTTAATGTGAATTTCAACAAAGCATAGTCCTGGAAAACCCTTCAGTTCAGTGATTGCTTACCAGGACACTAGGAAAGTGTTCATTCATAGGGATTGCTCCTTTGTGATACATTAGCATCTTTTCCCGGGAAATAGAAACTTGGCTGAATCCAAAACTCAGCAAAGTGTGTTATGAGCACCCATTAACCTAACCTGAGAGCAACAGGAATCAGAGATTAATATTTAAAATAGATGTAACAACTTCTGGAACCCTTCCAGCATAAGCAAGTAAGACATTTTGCATTATTCCAAACATTCATTGGCTGTCTTGACTTGGTGTCTCAGGAAGCAGAAAGTCCTGAATGAGATACACATAGGACATCTGTCTACAGGATGGCTCTTATCAGGATGTGTGCTAGAGAAGGGGCTACCAACAGGGAACTCCAAGAAATGATTGTTACCATGAGATTGGGACTTTATACAAATCACCATCAAACCTACCACAGACCATAATTCTCTAAGAAGCTGGCATTGATAGTCCAAACCCAGGCTGCCAACATTCCATCTGTATGACCCATCCACTTTGCCTTAGTTCCAACAACAGGGTTTATGGATCCCACCATTCCTTCTTTTGAGCCAAGTTCTTGAGCCAAGAACTGTATGTACTGAGTCAACTCCAGTATGTAAAGCACACTCTACCTGCTTCTACTTAATTATTTCTTTCTCTCAAACACCCCCCTCCTTTCCCACAGTGTAAACTGAATGGAGACACCCACATCACCTTACCACAGAAACATAGGAAAATGTTCATGGCAGACTGTAGTCAGATCCCTTGCCTGAATGAGTGGGCAGCTACACAGCACAAATAGAACCTTTCTAAACAGCCAACTAAGTTGATCAGAGCTTCCTGAAGCAGCTGTTAGTTGCTTTCTTTGATGCCCACTCCAGTCCCTATACTTCCAATGTTTCTATAGACACTATTATTTATCACTATGCTGGATTCTCTGAGATGCCAATTCTGTAACTACTCTAAAGACCCTGAATTGGTTCTAATGAATCCTATAAACCCTGCCAGGTGCTGAGATATTGTAGCTGGGAATTAACTGATTGTATTCAGTGATATTCTGAGACTCCAGCTAACACCCTTGGAAAACATTGTAGTGCAGAGGTCCACTAAATTATCATGGGCTATCATTATTTTGGCTTTTGCAAAATAATCTGAGTAATTAAAAAGAGTTGCCTCTTTTTTTTTTTTTTTTTTTTTGAGTCAGAGGAATACTGCAACGTTATTAAAAGATAATGGCTAAAGATGAAAGTGGGAAAAGGCAAAATGAAAGCCCTTAAAGAGCCCAGTTGAAAATGGTATCTCTAAATATGCCTTACTGCCTGGCACAATCTACATATTTGCATATGAGCCCATATTGTTTTTGAAACGGTCGACCTCTGTTTAAAATGATTATAGGTTAGGAAACACAGTGGCACAAAAATCTGTGCATGCACTAGCAAAACCAGAAAAATGGAGAAATGATTTTATTCACAGTCTTCGGCTTCCTTGTTGTATGGGGATTCTTTGTGAAACTGCCTTATGGTTACTTCTTGCTGTGCTATGTGTGTTTGTGTGTGCGGGGCGGCGGAGGGGGGGGGTGAAGTCCTGACATGTCTATGGTGAGTTTTGTTTAGCAGGACAGAGATACAGAGAGCTAAGAGGTAAATTCTTTCATATGTAAAGACTGTAAATGATTGAGGCTTAATTTTTCCTTTTTCTTAAACCTGTGCTACCCCTTTTACTAAAAGGCTGACACTCACACTTACACAGGAAAGGCACTCTTGGGAATGAACTGAAATAAGTAATTATCAAGCTCTCCAGGGTGCTGAGGGGATTAGCTCATTTCAGATCCAGAACCGAATTTAAATATGCAGAGCAAATCATGACAGTAGCTTGAGACTTGCCTGGGAGGGTAGCGACCCTATCAACGATCTTTCTGGTAAGTGTCTTTACCTTCAAATCCCTGCACAAGTTGCTTGACATGTGGACCCACCAATCTGGTTTCTGCCTTCGAAAAGTGGGTAAACATGCCAAGTTCTCTCCAGACCCCTTTTGCAGCTGCCCAAACAGAGGCACACCGTCCTCGGAACTCGGAAAAACGTGCCATTTTTAACATTCAAGGGGGAGAGGGAAGATCAAGGGTGCCTGTGAATATAAACTAAGGTAAGACCTTCGAACAAATCCACCCCGGAACACCCTGAATGCTTTCTTTATCTACGAATGTCACATAATTGGTTTGAGAGAGCAACAGTAAAAGTCTCAAGGAAGTAAAGTTTTCAAGACACCCCTAACACTTTTTTTTTAATCAAAACCTCTTTCCCATGCATTATCAGGTTCATCCTTTGCTCTGTTTTCTTCCATGTTCTTTAGAGCAATTTTGCTACTTGACAACTAGACTTAAAGCTGCCATAGACTTAAAAATCTAATCTTTGAAAGTGACAAAAATGCCTTTATTCTTTAAAGGTTGTTTTTATTCATCACCTCTCTCACCGCCCCCTCTACCTCACTTTTTTGCTTTATTTTATGTGTGTGTGCGTGTGATTATTTTTTCTTCTCTTTCTTTTCACATAATGCATTAGGTATATTTCAAGCAGTCTATAAAGAACTCAGACAGAAGCACATAGTCCTCCCCATTTCCTTGCACTGCCCTAACTAATAATTCAGTCTTAATATTTACCTTGATGCAAGCCAAGCAGCAGTGGGCCCCCATTTTCATCTCCAGAAAGTCACTGGTCCGTGGTGATCATTAAAACAATGCCAGTGGGATTAGAGAGGAGGACAAGCCAGGAGATGGATCTACTTGGGCACAGCTGAGGACTGTATTTCAAAGGCAGGCAAGCCTCCACCTCAATCTCCTTAGATCTGGGTCTAATCCTAGAGCCACCGAATGGTCCTGTGAACTCTACTTTATCACTAGACAGAAATCCTGGCAGCTTCAAGGTAAAAGAAGGCTGCTTCGGTTGTGTTCCCCTGGTGATGTCTGTTAGCTGGAATACAGAATAGGCTTCTGGAAGCTGTCAGTGAGAGAAAGACAGGACCAAGTGTGCTTCCTTTGTGAAGGTGGCTACAGGGTGAGTATCAATGCTGACACCTTCTGTCCATCGCTTTAGTTTCAGAGGCAACATCCTGGATGAGGGAGTGGGAAGGAACAAGCACTATTTCTAAACTCTAAAATATGTAGCATGAAATCTAGATGACAAAATGAAAAAGGGAAAGAACATCAGGCATGAACCAGTGGTGGTCCTCTGCTTCACGTCAAATGGTCACAAGATGACTTCTACAAAACCCTGAAACCTGGTCATGCAAGGTTTAATAAAGCTAACCTTTCCTTGACGACATAACGCTACTCATGAACATTAATAACCCAAGCATCCTCCCATCAGAACCCCCTTTCCAGTTACTTCAAGCATTTAAAGAACACTAACAATCTGAACTGACTACCATATAAAAGTTACTGTTGACAGGACTCATTCTGAATCACAGTTCAAGCAACATAATGATGCCAAATGTTGTTCTTTTGACATTCCTTCTGATCACGTAACATTTTCAAATTCTAGTCATAATGGCTTAGGGATTTGGGTAAATCAATTGTGTTACTATTCTCTAAACCTCAGAAATTTCTAATAGCCTTAGAAAGGATCTTAGAAGTCAACCCTTCTGCATAAACTGTGTAAATCTATTGAGCTGGGCAGTGGTGACACACACTTTAATTCTAGCACTCAGGAGGCAGAGGCAGGTGGATCTCTGGGTCCAGCTGGTCTACAGAACAAGTTCCAGGACAGCCAGGCCTACACAGAGAAACCCCGTCTCGAAATACCAAAAAGAAAAAGAAAGAAAGAAAGAAAGGAAGGAAGGAAGGAAGGAAGGAAGGAAGGAGAGAAAGAAAGAAAGAAAGAAAGAAAGAAAGAAAGAAAGAAAGAAAGAAAGAAAGAAAGAAAGGAGGGAGGGAGGGAGGAAGGAGGAAGGGAGGGAGGGAGGGAAGAAGGAAGGAAGGAAGGAAGGAAGGAAGGAAGGAAGGAAGGAAGGAAGGAAGGAAGGAAGGAAGAAAAACAAGCAAGAAAAAAATTTCACCCACCTTGGAGCTACTCATTCCTAAACTGACTAACTGCAACACTGGACAGTGCGGATTGCCTGCCACCTTTTTCTTTTTTTCACAACCTTTTGGAATTCGATCACTTGGATCAAAGAAAATAAAGAATTGAATCGCACAGTTTTTCCATATTAGCATAGACATATTATCATAGGTATCAAATGTAGAACTCCAATTTGTTTTGAAAGAACACACAAATCTGTTTGGTAGAATTGCATTTAATCACTACCACACCTTCTTTATTAAAATACTTTATGCTAAACAAAAATTCTTATTAAACTAGATCAATATTTCACCTGGGAAGGAGAAGCTAAGTCTGCCTCCTATTCAATACATCAGCACCTTCTAGGTTGATTCTGTCCCACCCACAAACTGAGCATGCTCTGTCGCCATGTCCTGAGAAGTGACCCCAGCTTCAAAACAGCACAAAGGCCATGAAAGGACCTTCTCAACACACTGGATAGACTCATGCTCAAGCACAAATACAAAAATAGAGTTTGTTGTCAAAGTCTTTGGTTTGATGATTGTTGACTTGAATATACATATATACCTAATCCAACTACACTGGGAGCTGACCACAGACTCAGGATGCTTTGGGCGATTTCCATATCTAGATTCCATACAGTTAATTCAAGATAATCATGTGTCTTCTCAGGAATCAGCTGCAGAGGTGAAGCACGTGCCAATTCTTCTATATATGAAAAAGGCCTCTGGTGGAACTAGGAATGTAATTATTTTGATAGTGTCTTTATAGCATGCACAAAGCCCTAAGTTGGATCGCTAGCACCACATAAAGCAGGTAGAGCAGTACATGCCTGTAATGCCAGTACTTGACAGGAAGAGATGAGAGAGAAACAGGAATTCAAGATCCTCCTGGACTGCATAGCCAGTGTTGAAGCCACCTGCTCTACGTGAGATCCTGTCTTGAAAAATTAATCAGTTAAAAAGACCCCCAGTTACTGACAGAAACCTTGAAGGTCATGCTAGTTGCTGATGGATATTTATGTTCAAATTCCTAGAACCATGTCTTTAACCTTATTTGGTTGATTTTTTTTTTTTTTTTTAACAGTGCTGGGAATTGAATTCAAGGTCTGGCACGCTGGCCAAGTCTTCTACCCATAAGTCACATTCGCAGGCCATCTCTTTCATGCTCTTTCCGCTCCCACCTCAGATCACAAGCAACCGAAGCCTTGGCTTCTGCAGGGTGTAAACACCCTCCAGGAAGGGAGGCGTCTGGCTTGCGCACACTGGCACTGGGCAGTAGTGGGGCTCTGCGTAGTTCATCTACTTCCATCTACACCCAGCCTGAAAGCACTGCCATTTGGCTAAACAAAGAAACTCACACTGCAGGGAACTAAAAAAGGCCAGGGCAGGCCAGTCCTTTAATTTGCATTATACATCTGGGGGTGGGGGGGCGACTAGGGCAGAAGAAACTGGCCTGCTGAAAAGCCAAGCGAACTCAAAGGCTTTGAAACTAATTCTACTGAAATTCTTGCACCACTGAACCACACAACTATAGTTCTAGTTAATCCAACTATTTAATAATATTAGGCGCTAAGTTAAATAGTTTTACACGAAATTTTAGGAGAGCTCAATACTGTAACAAAATTACAGGTTACCAGTGAAAAAGCACCCGAGAAAAGAAATGTATCGATCTGTTGTGGTTTATATACTTAAGTTATTCTTAGGACTCTGTAGAAATTGGCACTTTGCTGATAAAGGGAAAGAGGCTGCTCTGAATTCAAGGATGGTGGGCTAATAGCAATTCCCTGGAGTCCCTGGGCCTGCGCCTCTCTGGGTCGCTTTTTGTCCCTCAGCAGACAGGGTTGTTTGAGAACGAGAAGGGACTGCTGGGGAATGTTGTCCCATACCTCACATCTATGTCTAACTGTCATGGCAAACTGGGCTGTGGATTTTGTTAGTGATACCGTTCCTCGTTTTTGGCTTCTTCTTCAAAACATGTTATTATCAAGCCTCCATGCTGGGATCAAAAGCAGAAAAGAATGATGAGGAAGCACAAACATGGTATTTTACACATGCGGTGTGTGTGTTCGTGAATGGTTGGGACACACACACACAAACACACACATACACAAAGCTTTGTCTTAGGTGTGGGAGATGGCCTGTAGAGCCTTCGGTAAAGGCATCCGCTTAACTCTCCTCCCCTCACCAAGGTACAGAGAAGAGTGACCCCCTCAGAGATCTGTCCAGGCGAAGACTACCAACCTTCAGTTTGAACAAGGCCACAGAGTCCGTGTAGTCATCCTGCTGCGGGCATCGAGGATTACAAAGGCATGGTAGATTTTTTTTTTTTTTTGGATCGGAAGTTATTGCATGTTCTTATTTGTTCTAGAAAAGAACGATGAAAAAAATCATGTGGTGTGAATCAAACTGAAGAACAATGCACTCTACAGAAGATGAGGGAGCGGAGGATTTACTTTTCTAGTGGAGCGCTGGCCTGACACACCGAAGTTCAGTCTCCGGCACTACAGAAGGGAAAAGAAAAAAATACCCCCACCCCAATATAAAAGAGCCTGAGAGGATAAATACGACTAAGAAACTAAACACTGGCTCATTTTCTGACCAATGTGACTGGAAAGCACATTTCATAACATAGTAGTCTATGGAGATCACAGACATGACAGCTTCCTTAAATGCACAAGCAGTAGTCTTAATTGTGTTGTTCTCCCAAGACTGGTTCATTAAATAGGAATTTCCCTTACCCACTACCCACAACTGTTCTGCTTTTCTTTTCTGTTATCATTTGTTTCTTCTTTCTTTCTTCCTTCTTTTCTTTCTTTTTTTTTTTTTTCTTTTTTTAAAAAAAAAACTCTTGAAAGGGTTCCAGGCCCAGACTTAGAAAGACACAACCAAGTTATGTGGCAAAAACAAGAGTGCCTTTTCCGTTGGATGTCCACATTGTTCCCGGGCTCCACGGTATCAGATGTTTAGAAACCTTTCTTCTCTAAACATAAGAACTATTGTGCACCACAATTTTGAGCCACTGACTTATGTATCTTGAGCAGCTACCAACTTGCCAATTCCCTTTGGGTCTCCTTTATATTTTCTTAGAATGTTTCTTTCTATTTTGGGTTTTCTTCAAAAAGCCTGGGAAGGGGCATGATTCTTTTTAAATTGATAAAAATAAAACTGTACAGATTTCTGCCCGCTTGTATCCTTGAGCATGATCTCTATAAGCTTGAAAATCAGCTTTATCATTTTGTATATATGACTATTTTGTATTCAGCATTATTTGATTCCTTATATGCATGGCAATGTATTAAAATGTGGGATTTCTATTACCGTGTAAAAGTGTTTTGATTCTGATTTTCAACATATATT